TCCTCACAATAACTCCGCAAGGCAGAATCTGGCATTCTTATTTCATAGATAAGGAAAATGAGCTCAGAAGCTCTTGTAATTAGCTCAAGGTCACACAGCTCGTAAATGTGAGGATTCTAATCTGGATCTATTTGACTCCAAAATTCATGATTCTTCCTTGATGGCATCCTGTTTTTCACACTACTCTATCTATCTATCTATCTATCTATCTATCTATCTATCTATCTATCTATCTATCTATCTATCCATCCATCCATCTATCCATCTATCTATCATCTATTTATCTACATACATATTTGGTCTTCATCCCCAGCTCCTGGCACAGAGTTTCTAAACCCTTGTAACTTCCTGAGTGACGGGTGAGAGAATGTGTTATATTAGTTCTTAGTCCCCAGTTTCCTAACACTGAGCTTTTAGGACCCCTTTCTGGCATTTGAACTCAGGGCTATGCACTGTGCTTCTCTTGAATCAAGCCTCCAGTCCTGGAATGAGTGAGTCCTTTCGTGTGCTAATGAGATAACTGGTGGCTGGATCCCCAGGAAGTTGCAGGATAGGGGCTTGTTCACAGAGAAGAGGATTGGAGCTTCCATTTCCACCCAACCAGGGCTGGAGATTGTGTAGTCACAACAGCCAGTGCCTTAGTCAGTCATATCTATGTAATGGGTATGGAACCTCCCCAGACACTAGGAATGACAATTCCAAGAGATTCCAAGTGGGCGAATGGATCCACATTTTTTTTTGGGGGGAGGGAGTGGTGGTGGGTGCACCTCAACTCTACAGGGGCAGAAGTTCCTGTACTCAGGACTCTTCTGAGCCTCACCCTATGTGACTCTGCCTATTCATTTGCATCCTTTATCACATCCTTCATAACAGCATTGTTATTACCAATGACATTAAAACAGTAAATGTCAGAAAAGGATTTCCCTGAGTTCTGGGAATGGTTACAGTGAATTATTGAATCTGAGGAGGGGTCTGTGGTGCCCTGATTTGCAGCCCAGTCAGACAGGAGTGTGGGTAACCAGGGGATCGCTGGCTGGGATTAGAATCTGAAGGGAGAGGCAGTTTCAAGGGACTGACCTTTAACCTGTGGGGTCGGGCTAACTCTGGGTGGTGTAAGAACTGAACGAAATTGTAGGACATTCACTTGGTGTTGGCAGAGAAGTGCCTGGTGTGGAAAGCCCTCACATTTGGTGTCAGAAGTGTTGAGGAAGAATCGGTTTTCCTCTTACCACCAATTCCCAAAAAGCCCCACAACCAACTGTATAAAAACACACAGACACACAGAAAAAACAGACACACACAGATGTCATGTACACACAATCGTGCATACATAGACATACACTTTTTTTTTCCAGTTCAGTTTAAATGACCAGCACACCGGAGTTGCCACTCCCCCGTGGTGAATTCACTTTCTGGGTGCTGGGACTCCAGAACTGAACAAGAACATTCCTAGTACTGAAAACAGAGGCAGTCCCCAGTCTGCACAGCAGAAGGTGGCAAGTAGCACAGGAGAACAGAGTCCTATAGATATTAAGAGGGAAAAATTCCACCTATGCGGGGCAATGTGGGAAGACGCCATGGGCAGAAGGGGAAGCAGAAATGAACTCTAAGCTCCACACCAGTCATGTAGTCCCAACAACCCCAGGAGGCAGACAGCGGGCCCATTTTACAGATGAGCAAACTGAAGTGCAGAACAATGAAGTGACCTGCCCAAAGTCAAGTCACAGTTAGTGGGGAAGTCCTGGGAACACTTGGCTCCAAAGCCTATGTTATCTCTACTACATCAACATACTTCAAGTGACGTTCTGTGGACCCCTGCAGCAGGCATCGGTGAAGGTCAAAGGAAGACCCAATGGGTGCAGCTTGAACCCTTGCCCCAATTTCACCCTAAAAGCTCACTTTCCATATATGTTTATAGTCTGGAGTTCTGTGTAGAGGCAGTGAGGACAGTGGCTAAGCGGGTTCTGCCCTCACTGTGAAGCTGCTTGCATTCAAAGTCAGGCTCCACACACACCCAGCTTTGGCAACTCGGGCCTGGCACTGAACCTCCCAAGCCCTTGTTCCCTCAACTTCGGGATGGGTATAACATTCAGACCCACTGTGAGAGGATCATGTGACCAAAGCTATCTGCTCAATGTCTGGCACTTAGCACAATGGCATGCGTATTGCTGAGAATAACCAGGCTTGCCATACAAGGTAAAACAGGAAAAAAAGAGAAAAAGAAACACTCTTAAGTTTGTTTGTTTGTTTTTGCAGTGCTGGGGATTGAACCCAAGGCCTCATGCATGCTAGGCAAGTGCTCTACCGCTGAGCTGCACCAGCCCAGAAATACTGTTAAGGACTGAATGCCTGTGTCCCCACCTCTGCAAATTTATATGTTGACATCCTAACACTCAGTATGAAGGTAGGAGGAGGTGGGGCCTTTGGGAGGTCATTATCTAAGGAGGATGGAGACCTCAAGAATGGGATTAGTGCCCCTATACAGAAGACCCCAGAGATGATCCCTGGCTTCTTTCAGCCCCATGAAGATACAGGAAGAAGCTGGCTTTCTGTAAGCCAGAAGGGGCCTTCACCAGCACCCAACATGCCAGCACAGACCCCTGATCTCGGACTCCATCTTCCGGAACGGCAAGAAATCAATTTCTGTTGTTTAGAAGCACCCAAGTCTATGTTATTTCATTGGAGTAGCCTCAATTAAGACAATTACAAAACTATAGGAGGAATTCTTAGCAATACTAAAAACACTCCTCTGGAGAGCTGCCACACCTCTGAGCTCTGCTTTGCTTCTCTCCAGCCTTAGAAATATGGGTTTTATGTTATTGGGACACATCTGGAAGATGAGAGGCTTCATTGCCTCAATTTGCTGAGGTGAGACTGTGTTACCATCGCCACTCGTCAGCTGGCTCAGCAAGAAGCTCCATGGAGACTGGGCTGGCTTCAAGTGATGAGGTGAGGAACCCCAAAGCCCCAGACTAATTTGCCGACACTGCTTGGAGCAGGTGACCACAATGCCATTGACTCCTCCTAAGCTGAGACTTGGCACTAGGACCAAGAGCCTGGGACAGAGGAGACCTTTGCATCAGCCATGCAAGGCTCCTCTGCTGGAAAGATGGGCAGAATTTGCAGGGCAGTGGGGCCCTCATCCCTTTTAGGATCCTTCCATTGAAGACTGCCAGGGAACTAAGTTCCCAGGGGAGGTTTGGTGGCTTACACTAGAATGCAAGCTCCATGGGGGCTGGGATTTTCTCTTGCTCTGTTCCTGTTGGATCCTAGTACCAGAATGGAACAGAGTCCCATGAATGAGTGAATGTGACTGAATTCAAGATGAGTTAGTGGCTGCATTCCACCCTACAAGAAGATGGAGTTTCCCTTGCCATGCACTGAGTGCTGGGCTGGGTGGGACCTTCTTGCCACTGCTTTGCTTTTGATGCCCCCACCTGTCGCCTCAGCTGTGGCACCATCACAGGGCCTCTGACAGTTTCCCTTTGGAGAGGCTTGACCTTTTCTCTCTCCCAGGCAGAAGAAGGGCCATTTGCTACAGAGCACTGAGCAAGAAGGTCAACTCGTGCTGGATATATCTTGCTCCTTTAGCACCCCAGCTGCCAGAAATGAAAATGTCAGAGCTGGATGCACTCACAGAAGTCACCTCCTCATGGAAGAGACAAGGAAACCAGAGCCGGGAGACATTCACCAAGTGGTCCCAGACACAGCACTGAACCCCACTGCTCACGAGAGCTCCTGTATAGTACTCTCTAGGGCCCTGTCTCTGCCTTGAGCTGTCAAAGTCCTAACTCAAAAAAAGTGTACCTTGAGCCTGGATACTTTTCTACATATTACAGCACAAAATACCCCTACAGCATGTATGTAGAGATATGTACATATCATATACATGTATACACATGTCATAGATGACATGTGTATACACATAAATTATTCAATAGTCCCAAATACATTTATTTCTTTTGTGTTATACCTATTTATTACAGCATCTTAGTAACTAAGTGGGTGGGAGAAAGCCAGGAATACAGACTGTGAGAAAGGGGCGGTGTGTGTAATTTGCAAAAGCACATTTGGCGTTATAATTACTTTTTTAAAAACATTGCTTTGGTACAATATCGAATGTGCTTTGGAACTTTAACAGTAAAGCAGACCATTCAGAATTTATGGTCACCAAAAGGGGCTGTATCTGAAATAAAAAAAAACTGTAAAGTCCTGTCCTGGACTCACAGCATATGACAGCCTCAGAAATCATCCGATCCAACTCCCTGTTAAAGATAAGGAACTTCCACCCAGACAGGAGTGACTTCTTTTGTGAAGTCAGAGAGCTGTCCATTTGTCCCTGAGGGGAGTGGCCACATAGATTCGAACTGTCATATGGCCTGGTACCTGCACTGAATGTAGTCCAGGGTTTGCTGCTGACTGAGGGAAGAAATTTCTCACACCCAGGATGTCAGGACACAGAGAAAGAAAGCGAGTTCCCAAGCATACCACAGTTTTTTTTTTGTTGTTTGTTTTTTTAAATAAGGGAGACTCCTGGCAAAGGACAAGTGAAACCTGAGGCTTTACCTACATCCATTTCCTGGGGGCAGCATCCAATAACCCACAAGCTGGGCTGCCTTGCCTCTAAATCCCCCTTTTTGCAAATCTGGGGAAACTCACTCTGGGCCCTCTTTCAGTGGGCCACGAATGTAGGAGCACTTCCTCAAGCCATCCCTCTTCTCTCCCCTTGGCTACCTGCAGAGGCCATTACCAGCTGGACCATGGTTTCAGTCTAGTCCCCTCTATCAAGACAAGTTAGGTTTTCTTTCATTTGTTGTGACAGGACCAAGGATTTCCGCAGCAAGATTAAATTCCTAAACTGGTCACCCTGTGCACAGAGGCAGCAGGCCCAGCACGAGTGTACCCACAGCCTTGGGCAACCCTGCTCAGGGCTCAGGGGTGCGTGACTGTCCCCGAAGCAGCAGCTGTCAGTGCATCCGCCAGTGCAGGAGTCCACTTACCGCAGTGCGACTGGAAAACCTGGGGCTTGATGACCTGATTACAGGCACTGCACACTACGAGATAGAAGTCATCATGTGCCGGATAATGGCCAAATAAGTGCATATCTGTGGGGGAAATGAAAACAGGGGTTTTTGAGAAAACAATGAAGTCTCAGAAAGTGCAGTTTCCTCTTGGAATTTCTTCAAGGATAGCTTTTCACACAAGACACGCAGAAAGGCAGTCATTTTTACAAAAGGGACCACAGTTTGTCACAACGCATCTCCCCAACTGCCTCAAAGAATTCCTTCTCACCTCACCCTAAACGGACAGTGTTCATGTCTCACACGAGACCTGAAAACATACGCCCCTATGAACACCAGTCCACGCGTGTTCACGGCAGCATCATTCACAGGAGCCAGGAAGCAGAAACCTAATGGCTCATAACTGATGAACGGAGAAACGCAACATGTCACACGCACAGAACGGAGGGAAGTACTGACCCACGCTACAGCATGGATGAACCCTGAGGAGCGAGAGGAGCAGGCACAAAAGGTCACACTGGATGTTTCCACTTACGTGAAATGTCCAGAGGAGACAAACCTACATAGACAACAAGTAGCTAAAGGCTTGCCTTGGGTGGAGGACTTGGAGGAGTTGGGGTGAAGGGCTTATTTGGGGGTGGGGAGAAGAAAATATTCTAAATTTATAGCAGTGATAGTTGCACAACTCTGTGAATACATTAAAAACCACTGAACTGCACACTTTAAATGGGAGAATTGTACGGCATACAAATTCTATCTCAACAAAGCTGTCACACACAAAAGTTTATCTGGGAGGAAACCCACGCCCCCATCTCCCAGTGCTCCACTGTGTGGTGGCAGGGTCCTGGAGGGGCACCTCTTCTTAGCTGAGAGCTCCAGGGGAGTCACACGGGCTCTGAGGATGGGAAGCCATGAGCTCACGGGGGGACAGAAGAGTTAATGACATTGCACGCGTGAAGTTGCCTCTATCACGACCTCCTGAGCGTCCTCAGGCTCACAGAGGTAGTACTTGAACCCCTCCTCAGCCCTCGTTTGTCAGACTCAGCCTGTGTCCTTAATGAAAACCTCCAGATGGAGGATGGCTTTCCCAACTGTGACCCTATGCCAGAAGGACGAGCCGAGTCCTCATGCTGTGGGGAGCTTTGCGGGAGGTCCCTGCTCTGTGTGCCTGGCCATGGAGTTGGCACATTTGCTATGGAACAAGGAGCAGAGACCCTACTTGTCTGGGTGTGGTCTGTTACTCCCTCGCACCCTCACTGGGGACTTCCACTTCTGACTGAGACCTACATCACCATCTGTCTGGGCCTAACTGAGGGCGGTATTATTAGTTAGTGCCTGGTGGGTGGCAGGCCAGTGGGAGGGGAGGTTAGAAGGGCACTGAGCTGTGACCAAAGTGGAGGGGCCACTGCTGGGCCCACCCATGGAGCAGTCCTGAGTTACTGGAACCCTCATGTGTTGTGGGCAGGCAGTTCAGAGGCTCAGAGCAGAGACATACCACCTCCTGAGTGTTAACTGCTGTTTATTCTTATAACATATTCATTTTTAAGCAACAAAAAGGACCCATGCTCTTTGAAGATATATTTTTCAAATGTATCTTCAGAAAAGCCAGAAGAAATTAAAAAGAAATTACTGGCAACCATTATTAATACTTTGCATCTCATTTAAAGCAACATTTTCTATTCAGGAACATGCAGGTGAGGGCTGAGACATTTATTTACTCAGTGAGAATTTATTGAGCTGCCTGTATCCCTTCTGCAACAAGTCAAGCTATGAAGGAAAGAAATTCACTAATTAAAAATCCCACCCAAACCAAGCATTATCAAAAATTTCTTAAGCACGTACACTTGATCCAAGTGCTAAGAGGCTAAGACCAGACACCACAAGATGTGGGGATACATCTCTGCTCTTTGGTGTACCCACCTGTTGATCTGCTGGGGGCCTGTCAGGACTCCACTTGATGCTCCAGTCTTCTGTATCCTCCAGAGATCGCAGAGCTATCCTGGTTCCCCCCCTCTCCCCCTCGCTGTGTGCCACTGAGTTGAAGGTAAAGGTCAGGCTAGTCAGAGACTGTGCCCAGCTGGGCATGTGTTCTCAAGCCCTTCTCTGGTAGGGACTTTTCTTGGCTTCCTGCAAGGGCAGTTTCAGCCTTGTACTTGTCTGCTCAGAGCATGTCTCAGATGAAAAATGAGAGGACTTCTTGCCTGACTGCTAGATTATTCCTTGTCGTCAGCCAAGGATCTCCTCTACAGGCTGCCTAAAGTCTGGGAGGCTGAGAGATGGGGAACGAGGTAAAGGGTGCTTGGATCCCAGAAGACCTCCCCACCTCACACGGCTACACATTCAAGGTCAGGGGGCCATTTGAGAAGGTTAATAAGGTTTGGGGATGAAGGAGAGATGAAAACTACTATGCCAGGCACAACTCCAGCCACTCAATATTCTCTCTCTCTCTTAATTTATCCCATCAGCCATGATGGGAGTATTTGTACCACAAAAACGGGCAAACGCTACAAATCAGGCTGGTTGTTCAACATTTACCAGTGCAACACTGAATAGAGATGAGCAAAAAGTGAAACATGAAACCACCTGAAATGCCACACCTAGCGAGAACCACTGTAGTTGCATTAATATATCCCCTTCCAGAATAGTTGACATGATACAATTATCTCAGCAACTCTTCACAATTAATCTAGGAAGTCAACATCTCTGCTTTCCAGGCAAGGGAACAAAGGTAAAGTAATTTCTGGAAATCCTATGGCAGTGATTTATAGAGCAGGATGAGATTACAGGACACTGACAAAAGCCAATGTTTTTTTCCTCAGCGAAACATTGTTTCTTCAACAACAGAGCCAGATTTCATTTTACAGATGAACATGCCAGTTCAGAGGGTGCTATGGTTTGTCCCCTCTAAAACTCATGTTAAAATGTGATTGCCACCATGGTAGTGTTGGGGGTGAGGTCTTTAAGAGCAAGTAGTCATTAATGATTACTAATGTCTTTCTCATGGGAGTAAGTTCCTTCTACCAAAAGCTGGTTGTTAGCAAGTAAGTCGGCCCTTCATGCTTTCCTTCGTCCATGTGTGACCACTTCTGCTCCCATACCATGTTGTGATGGAACACAAGGCTTTTTATCAGATGCAGCTACCCGAATGTGGACTTCCATCCTCCAGTCAAAATAAACTTCTTCTCTTTATAAATTACCCAGTCTCTAATATTCTGTTAGGGCAATAGAAAACGGACTAAAACAGAAGGATTGTCTAGATAATTAATGGACTGTCCTAAGGCTCCTGAGACTAATGGCTGGGTAGTGTATACAGAATGGACACTCTGGATAAGGAGAGGATTCACATACTAGGCAAGATTCATTGGGCTACTTAGAATGGTGTGCAATTTAAAACTTATGAACTCTTTCTGGAATTTTCCGTTTAATATTTTTGAACTGTGGTTGGTTGTAGGTAACCGAAACCACTGAAAGCAAACCTTAAGGTGTCGGGGGGCGGGGGGAACTACTGTATTTACACCACAGAAGTCAACCTCCACCACAAAACAGGATTTCTGTCCTTAGAGAGCTGGCTGATAAAACATTTACTAGCATACCACTGATAAGCACCTACCCTGGCATCACTTGTTCCTGACTCGATTTCCCTAGCTATAAAATAGAGAACATTATATTCATCATATACCACACTGGAAGGTATACAATTATGGAGGTGGTATAAATTATTAACACAAGAACTTATGTGTAACACAGCCAGGTAAACATATTTACCACTTCCTGTCTGGATCTCACAGCCTCTGGTGCCCAGATTCTCTACCCCATGGCACAGGAGTGAAGGAAAGGACAGAGATCAGAGGTGATGTAAGAGATACAAAGTTTGGGACAATAGAATGGTTTCTATGAAAGTGAAGTAATAACTGATTTTTCAGTATAGTTGCTAAACTGCTTCTAAAGTCGATACAATACTAAAAAAAAAAAAAAAACTGGCAGAATGGGAGTAGCATTTTAGCATTTTATTCAAGATAAATAGCTTTCTAACTCTTTTGCCAAGCCAAGTCATGTGTGTGTATAAACTTTAGTTTATATCCAATAGTCACGTTTAGATATGATTCCAGTCAAGGAAAGGGCAGGGCAACACCTCCAATTCACTATTTGTGTAGGACTTGTTTCCAAGATGGGAAGACAGCTGGTTTTGTGGATTTAAGATCAAGCTAGATGCTATGTGCTTTTGAATTTGCCCCTGGAAACCTTCCAAAGCTGACTTTGACATTATGAAGCAACAACTGGAGAGGCCTTGACAGATGAAAACCTCAGGAAAGAGTGAGGAAGGGTAGATTGCTTGCCTCTGCGAGTAGGGTTCTGAGCAAGGCACAAGATGCACAGAGAAGCTGCAAGGGCAGATTTGCTTTGAAGATAACTGAACAACAGCTTATTGGCAATCGATGATACCTATGCTCACGAAAGAAAATTGCAGTGGGAAAAAGACAGCAAAACAGACAATCATGAATTTTAGCTTCATGGGAAAGATGATAAGGTTCAAGAAAACAACCTGAGGTTTTCCTAACAGTCTTTTCCAGAGAGGGGTCTGAAACTACCTTAGGCATTACAGGAAATAAAAATATCACGGTGGGACATGCCACAGTGCTATAGTAATAATGAAGATTTTTAAAAATATGATTTTAAATCTATACTCTCCCTTTAAACTTATTCAAAAATATTGTAATAAAAATGGGATTTTAATTATGTTAATTTCAACAAACCAAGCTCTTCCCAAGAGGCAGATAAGAACCCTGTCTTAAAAAGTTGGCTTCTGCTCCCTGGGAGGAAGACAAGTTCATCCACAGATCTTTTGTGGATCCCGAGGATGTGACAACCATATGACAATACCCAGAGGGCCAGGTGTCATTGGATTTCCTTGGAAATCTATCAAAAGGATGTGCTCATGGCTGTTGGTGATTTTGATTTGTGATCTCCACTTACATGGACTCCGACAGTCCACAATATTTGGAAGAAATTACTGAGGTTCAAGGAAACATAAGACTGACTGACTCCAAGCAGCCCGGGATCAGGACACTGAGCAGCTGGTCCTA